GGTGAGTCCAACAACAATTAAAGGCTCATTTAATATTGAGGTGGGACCCCTCCATTTCCAGTACTGACTGTTCAGGACTGCCAAGCCTTCCCAATGCTGTGGAGGGAGGCACGAAAGAAATCTAGTTGGAAACCCCAAAAACTGAAGCTAAAACAAATTGTACAATGAATTGGGTGTAATATTCCCAACCCATATTTTTCCCCACCATTGTTATCTCAAATTTTTGCTGTAAACTCCAGTGGCACTGAACTGGTGCCAGTGGCACTGGCTGACTCAGAACAACAAGCGGAAAGACGTTGAGATGGAGCGGTTGACCATAAAGACACGCAACCATGGAACACTTAATTTACATAACTGTATCTGCATTCTATTTTTTCTAATTATAGTTCAACAACGGCTAATTTAAATGTTTTACGAAAGTTTTGCAAGGTGTTGGACCTCCGCTAGCCATACCTCATTTACATAAAGTTGAAGTGTAGGCTATTTCATGAAAATGAGGTGCGGGCAACTAGCAGGCAACTCAAACACATGAAACGTAATGGCCAGCTACCAGAATGCAATGTGGGGTGTTTCATATCTGGGAAGGGAGAAACTGATAAATACTGTGGACACGTACCTAAGGTACCTGGAGTACCTTGTCCTTGTCTACAGTCAGATTAACTTTACCACTAACTGTGCTAACTAGCAGAGACACAAGCTGCAAAAAACAAGAATCAGGACATTAGCCACTTTCACAGTTGCTACTGTTACGTTAACGACCAGCAGCTAAATTAGGAGGTGGAAGTAGATTACCCTGAAACATCCATTATCTATACCCCGTTAATCTTAACTATGGTCACAGGGGGCTGGAGCCTATCCCAGCTGACTCAGGACGAAGGCAGGGGACACCCTGGACAGGTCGCCAGTCTATCGCAGGGCTACACTTAGAGACAGACAACCAAGCACACTCACATTCACACCTACGGACAATTTAGAATCACCAATTAGCCTCAACATGTTTTTGGGCTTAGGGAGGAAGCCAGAGAAACCGTGACAACCCATTCTGCATGGAGAGAACATGCAAACTCCACACAGCAAGATCCCAGGCGTCCTAACCGGGACACAAACCAGGGATCTTCTAGCTGTGAGGCGACTGTGCTAACCACCAAGCCACCTTGCAGCCCTTCCCTGAAACAGTCTGGAAAAGAGTAATTAATAATGCTTTAAGACATGAACATTAGTGGATAATGAAAGTGATGGAATAGAAAATGATTACCAAAACAGACAAGAACAGCAGATCTAATGGCAGGAGACAAACTGTTCCTGATCTCACTCAATTGATATCAGTAAACAGTAAATGTCATGTTAATGCATATCGGTTCCAAATATCAGTTACCAGCCTAGTTACCAAAAATTGACATCAACTGGTGTGAGCCACTGTGTTCTCATGCTGCTGCTGGTGTCGCTATGCACACATATACTGTATTTTAATCTAACCGGATTCCCAATAAAGCTGTTTTCATTTACATACAGTTGTGAACAAAAGTTTACACACACTTGTAAAGTCCATGTATGTCATTGTTTTTGGTGATGAATGCAGTTGTGTTAATCAAATATTTTTGGTGGCATGGGCTCTTAACCTCTTGTGAGTATTAACTACAGCTGCTGACTTCTCTGAGCCAATTTAAACAGGGTTCATTTAAGACACTAAGACTGTGGGAAAAAAATCTACAATTGGAAAGTCCTAAGAGCTTAACACATATCTAAAAAAAAAAAAAGTCAACCAAGAATCACCAAAAAAAAACAAATCTGCAATGAATTACAAGCCACTGCAACACAACTGTCAGTGTCCACAGTCAAGCGCTTTTTACATCACTATGAGCTAAGGGGCTGCCAATCAAGAAGGAAGCCCTTGCACCAGAAGCAGCACTTTAAGGCTCGACTTAAGTTTGCTGCTCATCACACGGACAAAGAAAAGGCCTTCTAGAGGAAACTTCTGTGATCTGATGAAACACATATTGAGCTATATGGCCACAATGAACAGAAAAGTGTTTGGAAGAGAAGTTGAGGCCTTAATCCCCAAGAACACCATACCTACTGTCAAGCATGGTGGTGGAAGTATTATGCTTTGGGACTGTTTTGCTACTCGTGAAACTGGTGCTTTACACAAAGTAATTGGAATAATTAAGGAGGAGGATTACCTTCACATTCTTCAGGAAAACCTAAAATCATAAGTAAGAAAGTTGGGTCTTGGATGTAGTTCAGTGTTCCAACAAGACAATGACTCTAAACACACATCCAAAGTGATAAAGAAGGGGCTAAATCAGCCTAAAATTAAGGATTGAGACTGGCTTCCCAAAAGTCCTGATTTAAATCTCATTTAGATTCTGTGGACTGTGCTGAAGAAACAAGTGTGTGTCAGAAGGCCAACAAATTCAGTTGAACTGCACCAATTCTGTCAAGAGGCTTGCTAGAAGTTTGTGGATGGCTACTAAAAGAACCTAGTTGAGGCAAAAATGGCGAAGGAGAATTTAACCAAACATGTATATATATTTTTGACCCAGTAGATTTCCACATATTTTTCATATTTTCAGAAAACCTAAAATAAAACTATGAAATAACCAAAATGCATGATTATATTTTGTGACAAAGATGCACGTGTTTCAATCATTCCATCATAGAAAATTAATGGGTACAGGAGTCACTGGAAACTCAAGACTGCCATGGTATACAGGGTTTTCACAAGTGTATGTAAACTTTTGTTCACAACTGTGTATGCAGTCACTTGTTACTCAGGGGTAAGGTTCAAAGTGGAAGTTCATAGTGTCTTGGTCTCACGCACTGAATGGCTGCCATGGGGTCATCCCATGCTGCACCTCACTGAATGGAGTAAATGCAGAGGGAGGTGACGGGAAAGCAAGACCTCACACTCATAGGGCAGCACTAGTGATTTCTTCTATAAAAAGCAGTCGTCCAAAAGACATTAGATCTGTGGCTAGATTTTTTTTTAAGTTGTTAAAGGGATATAAAATGGACATGACTAACTTGGCAACAACAACCTTGGAGCATTATCATTTTCATGGCGTAAGTACCAAGTGCTTCCAACATAGAAATGATGGATTCTATGTCTGCACTGGCTTTGCAAGGTTTAGAACCATTTAAAACAGTAGAGGGCATGTTGACCCATTTTAAACCCATGAAATACAGATTTTTATATTGTTGGTATAAATGTCAGTAATAACACCAGCAGTTTTGTGTGCCGTCACAGCAAAGTTATATCACTGAGTTTACAGCTTATAAAATATAAGTGTGCAGTGCCTCTTTCACAAGACGCTCAAAGGCATTTTGCGGAAGGCCCTCCATAAAAATAAAAGGAATTGGGCCATTTTCTCTCCTACCTTCTCTTTACAGCAAAAGGAGGTTTTCCATTGGTTTCTCACCCTTTGACTTGTTGCTTTCCAACAAACCCAGGGGTCTTTTTGACATAACAAAAAAGATGAGAAGAGAAACCCTTCCCCCATCGTATCATGACTGAACATGTGGGGGCGATACAAGAAAGGATGACAGCTGTGGTCCCAACTGTGAAGGAGCACATGGAGAAAGCACAGAGGAAGCAGTGTGCAGTTTACAACAGATGTGCCTAACCTAAAGAATGTCAAACCAGGAGACAGAGTTTTGGTGCATGGCTACTTGGCAGGAAGTGGAATTAAAAAAGGTTTGGGTCAATTGCAAGTACAATAACGCGGGAAGAGAATAGGTAAGGACAATGACTGAAAATTGTCTTCCTAACAGAGAACCACTACAACATGTCCAGAACAAGATGCTGTTTGGCCCATACTTCTCGCCTTGCCAAATGGAGCAAGTAAAGAACCAAGCGAACGGTAATCAGGATGTTTTTTATGGCTCTCAAGATGAACCCACCTTGAGGCACTTAAAACTGGCACAATGCCAGAACAAATAGTTTACAAAAAGCTGTATTTGGAACTGAATTGACAACGAAAAAAATGACACCGGCTGCAGATGAAGCATTTGGTAACCTTACGAGGATTTCGCAGTTAAAACCGGTCTTTGCTGCCCCTGGCTTCACTATGGATTTTTTTTTTTTTAAGGCAAATGACTCTGAGGTGGTTCTGGAAGCTGTGCTATCCCTTATCAATGAATGCAAGAAACATCCAGTTCTTCATTTGACTTTGAAGTGACTGCCAAGAGAGAGAAACTATGTCACAGCAGAGAAAGAGTGCCCAACAAAAAATGGGCCCTGGAAACAATCAGATACTACTTGCTTGGATAGAGGTTCACTCCAGTGACAGATCATTCCCTGTTAAAATGACTGACTAAAACCAAAGAAGTAAGCAGCAGGGAAACTAGGAGGTTCTTAAGTCTCAAGTCTTTCAATTTCTCTTTCATTCACAAGTTAGGATAGTGCCATGGAAGAGCAGATGCCCTGTCCTATCCTGATGCCTTCTGGTCCTCATTTACCTGTCTAGGTTGAGAGTGGTGTGTAGTATCACAAGGGCACATGTAGTAGAAAAGTGATATATTCCCATACAGGACTGGCTGTCACATTTCAATATGGCTGCATTTACATACACGGTATATCCCAGAATGACAGAACTTTTTGGAATATGCTGAGTGTTATGAGAAACTTCTCCTCCTGTGGGGTATGTTAAGTTGGATCTTGGATTTTGTTTTGATGGAAGAAATTACATGAGGGACTCGTTGATATCCTGCTAACTGGGGAATAAAGCATCCTCGATAATAACCCTCTACTTTTGCCTGTTTTTTCCACTATATGTCACTGGCCCCCCCTAGTCTGCCCCAATGACCTGTTATGACATTGCAGTATGCAGAACTATGCACTAATGTGTGTGATGTAGACAGCAGTGAGTCAAGCAGCATCACATTGCCTCAGAGTGGAGAGGCAGGAGCTTGAAAAGTGGCACGGCGAGCACACAGGAAAGGGCAGAGAGACTGGGTGAGCAGCTGGGGGCAATGCCAGAGTGAGTTAGGGGGGGTTCTACCTGGTAGAGACAGTGGCAGACACTGCGGAGCTGTGGAGGGAACTCGCTGGATGAACCAATGATGGCCTGGAAGAAGCGCTCTGTGATCTGCAGCAGGTTCCTCTGGTTCTCCTCCAGGTTCTCACCTTGTTCCAGCCTGATTAGACACGCAAGTAGTTTGGTGAGTCAGAGAGGCTTTCAATACTTAAGTTGTGTCCACAAATTCACAAGTAGAATACTATCAGAGCAGCACAGGAGCTGATTTGTGGTGATGTATAAAACTCTCTTAGGTCATCAGTGCTCAACAAAGATGGAAAATAAGGACTACAACCATGTCTACCCACAATCTCTCTATCAAGTACAAATTGAGCCAATAGTGGCAATCTAAAGGTGATGTGTCATGAGTGCATTATGTAATTAACTCAAAAATGACAGCTTGACAAATATTGTCATGATTAGGACTACCCATCATGCAATAAATCCTAGATCACATATGTTGCAATGCACTAAAGTTTGTAGTAAATCTGCTCCAACAGATATGTGATGCCATTGATATAAATCTAAAAGAGGTTATATAATAAATATTTGAAGTGGCCACTATCTGTGGAGGTCTGTTAACATATGTTCAAATGTTGGTTCACTGAACCACTAAACTCAACCTAAAAACATCACATTTCCTTACAAAGTAAGTGTTGAATAAGCTTCATTTGTATACTTTGTACTGATATTTCTTGTTTTTTTGTGATATTAACAGCGGGAAGTATCATGAAGTAAATGATCTTGTATCTTGTAAATCAACTTCCCAAAATTGCCTTTAATTGTGTAATCCATCTGAAATCAAAGCCCTGCTTAGTAGCTTTAGGGCTATTAGAGCTTGTCAACACGCCTTGTAGTTTTCGTAAGCAAAACAAGTTGTTCTTTGATTAATGGGTCTTCTAAATGGTTGGGGATCAATACACATATATGTAAAACTGCTTGAAAAAATGATTGTCATTTTAATATTAATTGTACAGTCTAAGTCAAGATTGAACAGATTTTTAAAAAAAATACAGCCAGACTTTTACCATTTATCTTGGCATTTGGTATCTGGCTTTAAGGACCACCTACAATTCCCGATAAAGCATAGATGAGTTGTGAGTTTTTGATTAGTTATTTGGGAGATATTGTCTGACAATGTGAATGCTACATGGTGTCAAGCAGAAATGCAAGCACTTACCTGGTGGGGTCTACCTCAAAGCTGATATGTTCTGGGGTTGTGATGACCCCTCTTAATAAAGGCTCCAGTAGTTTCTGCAGGTATGCTGCCCCATATACCTTACAAAAGATATCGTAAAATAGAGTCAATAATATACACACAATATGTCATGAGGCAAATATTTTCAGCAACAGGCATTTCTAAATAATTCCTAAAACAAATTGTACTGGTTCTCCTACCTTGAAACAGAAGGTCATTATCTTGCTGGCAAGGCTGTTTCCTCTAAAGAGGGTTTGCATGGAGTCTGCCAGTTCCACCTCTTTCGAAAACATGTTCCACAGCAGCTGATATAGGAGGTGGCGGGAGTCAAAAAGTGTCACCAGGACTCGGGCTAGCTCATCCTGGAAATTGAAAAAAACAGATATATATCACTGCCTGAAAAAGGTTTTAGGGCGATGTGTTATAATCAGTCATATGTTTTCCAATTTTTGCTTCCATATGCATGTACTATAACCTAGATAAATGTACTCTGTGCTGAAGAAAACTTTTCACAAAATAAAACACTGTCTACAAGTCTGAGCAGTGATGTTACAGTATTATGCTCTCTATCTATCATCTGAAAAAAGTCCTTAAAAAAAGAGCTACACACCCACTGGGACCCAGGAACAACATTCGCCAGTGCCATAGCAATGGGCAGCTCTCCCTGGTCTCCCATCATGGTGACCAGCTCCACCAGCCTCTCAAAGCGGTCAGCCAGCACCGTCTCTGCCAGCGTGTCAAACTCTGTTCCCTGCTGCAGGATCTTGGTCAGTACCTCCATGAAAGTGGCTCGTGTCTGAAGGTCCTTGTGATAACCCAGACCTGAACAGAAAGAAATAGACACTGGTTTAAATGGACAACCCTGAGGTCCACATGATCAGCTAAATTTTTCCCACAATGATGTTTTCAAATGCTGCAGCGAGTAGTTGACTCACCAATGGAGTGCATGAGGCCGCTGTCTACGTTAGCGTTGAGCAGGTTGGACATGGCCAGGACGGTGCAGTGGCGGAGAGATGCCAAGCGTCGGGACATTCCTCTCTTTCGTCCCCCCACTGCCTGGCCCTCATCCTCAACCTCACTGCAGTCATTCAGCAGGTTCATGAACAGAGTGAAGTACCTGAAAACCACCACAAACAACAGCACATATATTACAAACCTTTTTATTTTTATAAAACCCTTTTTGCAGAGAGTAACTTCACATTTTCTATGATACATTTAAAGTAATCCAGCTGAATATATCAATACTGTATGCTGAAATTAGTCATGACTTTGGAGCTCGGTATACAGCTGATTATCTTGAAGTAATGCGATTGGATGACCTGTTCACCATTTCACATATTCCTTTATTATATGATAGCAAAAAAGAACTTTGCACATATATCCTAAATGTAAAGCAATCACCACGACACTCAGAAACATGCCACAACATGTAACCTGAAGGCAAAGGTATGAAACAGAATCCACATACTTGAGGTCACCAAAAGACATTTCGTACCCTATTCTTCCTACTAGCTCTGACCTTATTTTGTGTGATCACACTATGTCCTAAGTAATGAGCATTTCTTCAGACAAACACAACCGCCATGTTTCACTTTAATAGACAAATAATGGTGTTCCTTACTGTAGATATTGTAGACTGAGAAACACAAATATTCAATACTTAAAATAATTTAAAACATGATACTGGCCTATTATGTAATTGATTATGTCCAAGGTTTTCTAAAGCCTGAATCAAATAACACCTCACATGCAGCTGCAGTGCACTGTGGCTTCACTATTGTGGTTTTACTGTCTACTGGAAATGTGTCTTTACACATTTTTACGTAGTTAGCTGGAAGGCTGACATATTTTGTTGTGTTTGTAGCTTTTTGTTATCTTGGCTAAACAGCTGTCTGGAAGTACAACTCTTTTGCTTCTCCACTTTGTCACGTTAACATCTGGCAAAGTGAAACGCATGACACTACCATCTACCCCCACTAAACCCACCTCTTTCTTTTGAACGTACAACTCTAAGTGTGAAAATAAAGCCATTCAGTAACCCACAAGTTTTGTTTTATACATTTTTAGGTGGTCAGTGGCTCGTTGACTGTACTTTTACCAAACTGCAAGTACAAACTTCCTGGATATTATTTTATGTGTGTATTGTATGTAAACAGTTACTATTAGTGAAGTCCCACTGAATTTATTTTTTTTTTTCCCTCAATCATTCCTGTGGAAAATGACCAATGTTTGTCCACCGCCACACCAGAGATACCGGCTTGTTCTCATTTCAGTTTTGTTTCATGTTGTAAACTATAGTTTACCTTTTTTTGGCCTAGTATTTAGTATCTGCCAATATCAAGTCTAATTGCTAGGCTGAATTAATAATCACATATTACAAATAGTGTCAACACTGCAAAGAAAATTGACTGTAGGCATGTCTTACTTGAGGAAGAGCTGAGATTTCGCCTCCATCAGTTCTACTCCATCTCCTTCCTCTGGTTGCAGAGGAAGACCAGCTAACAGAGACACAACAGCTTCCATACTGGCCTGGTCCAGGTCCCTGCACATTACACACACATGCACACGAAGAAGAAAATAGTGAGACAGGAGCTCACTCAGCTCCTTAGAATGCACTGGTTGAGCTGCGCACATGTAACAAAACTGCACCTTGTCAGACACTTGATGTCATCATCAGCAGCTTGGTTGGACGTTCCCATCACCCAGTCTGTCAGGTACTCCACCATCTTGTTCCTAGAAACAACAAGAGTCAAACCGTCCAAACTGACTAAGAGGAAATTATTTAGTATTTGAAGAACATGTAGAGGAAACGCAAGACAGTACAATTTATCATTACTTTCTCACACTTTAAATTAATTAAATTATTGTGTTTATGAAATCTAGCAAATACACTGAAATGTAAATCAGTGGTGCAGGAAACTGTTACGAAATGAGGTGGTGGTGACATTGAGCTGCAAACAACGAGAGTGATGTGAGTCTACTTAACAAGACGATGGAGTCACTGACCTGAACTTCATCTCCTGGCAGAAGGACAGATCATCACGTCTCTCCATCATCACCTCCACCAGCTGGCACAGCTTGGTTTTGATCTGGATTGCATGGACCACATTACCCAGAATGCGCACATATCTGAGAGACGGAAAACAGGTCAGTCCATCTCAGGCAACTTTCTCTCTAGGGCAGCTGTCTTCATTTACATACTGTCATAGTCAAAGCCTTCATTTTGGTCGCTTTTTCAGACAGTGTTGGGAATAATAACTTGATCTGCTCATGGCACAGTTTGGTAATGACTGTTGGCTACGATGGCACATGTGAACCACATCTAAACTTTTACACTGCTTTTAATGTCTGAAACAGGATAATATGTAAATGAGAACAACTACATTGTAAATGCGGGTGCATAACACAGAATATATGACAGACAGTGGAGGGCGGGCTGGTTGTCACATTTATTTTCTCAGTCTCTCATTATAAACCTCAGAATCTCGTTTTGTTGTGAATGTGATAAGACAAAGTCAGTAATAAATTAAATACATAATTAAACATGTATTTCAAGTAAACTGTCAATAATTACAAGCATTTTTGTAGATACACAGCAAAAGTTCAGGCTTCAGAGATGTGAGCAGGCTGTGGAATGGCAGTGGAACGGCTCTGGCAGTCTTGACAGTGCCAAAACACAAAAAAGATGAATGTTTTGGACATTGGTGCACAGAGCAAACCTTTGGCATTGGGACAATGAAAATGTTGTTGAATCTACCTGAAAGTTGAAATTAACCTGGAAGTGGAC